TCTTAAATGAAGAACAAACGAATATACGCTTTTTTAGGTTATTTATTGATTTATTTTTAATGACTTTATTTTATTAACCTATCTCTGGATACGTTAAACCGAATTAAAGACATACATCACATAGTTATCAATGACGTGGAGGCAGTTTCACAAGTTGATATTTGTAAATAAATAAATAAATAAATAAAAATACATCTTTAAAAAGTCAGGGATCGATCTGAAGTCGATCTCACTTCTAAAATGGTTAAAAAATCTTTATTTTTCGGTTCTAATAAATGTCGGCTTACATGAATGTCTAACGAGTGTTAATCAACAAATATCAGAAAATGTTTTCCTCTATCTATTACAATCGAGCCAGATAAGCGCAGTAAACATGATAATGATGATTCTTTTTCTCTCTCTTCTTGTTGCATCTCTTCAGGACTTGGATGATCATAGTTCTCCACAACTTCCTATCCTTTGTAGCTTTTAGTAAGTCTTGTCTTTTCACTATCGCTCCTAGCCCTTGTTGTGTCATCCATTTACACAAGCTCACTAGGAGATTACTCGAACTTTCCCTCTTCCTAGTCAAACTCAAGCAAGTACGAAAATTGAAATATCTGGGAAGTGTTTGAACAGAGGATGGGAAATGTGACAACGAAATCTGAAGGTGAATTAGAATAGCGAAAAATGCCTTCCAAAGTTAAGCAATGTATTAAGAAACAGGAATATTTTATTAGAAATGTAAATGAGTGCTGAAACTGCTATGAAGAAGAGACCTGAGACAACATAAATGTGGTTTTACAGAAGGATGCTGAGAATACCATGGACTGAACATGTAAGTAACGAGGAAGTTTTAACGATAACGGAAAGAAAAAAGACATATTTAAAGCCAGAAAGAGTTGAAATTTCTAGGACACATAATGAGGAAAGAGAGCTTGGAGAATTTGACACTCACCATTTCTATAGAGAAAAATGATTATATTTTTTCAATAGGAGTATACTGTAAATCACTTTTCCTAAAAGGTCCGAGCCATATTGGTAGAGGTATTCGTTTCTTTATTTAAATTCGGTGAAATAGCTACTTCAGACGCATAGCATTCTACAAGAGCGATTAACATCAATAATATGAAATACATCCACTTCCGGTTGTTTCCATTTAGAGTCAAATGCCTCAACAACAAAGTATCGATCGGGAAAGATTTTGTTTTAATCAGTGGTTGAATTTTATTGGAAAAATTTAGTATGTATTTTGTTTAATATGAAAGCATATTGATCGTTCTCATGAAAGAATTCAAATTAGTCGGAACAGATAACTCTTGAAGTGATCGAAGTCTTTCTGGATCAGATTTTATTATTCACCTAGAGATCAAATATATTGATCATCGATACAGATGACTCTGTTCTAGTTTCCAATTAACATTGAGAGATTGCCTTTATAATGTCTAGCTATTTCTGTACTTTGTAGCCATATTCTTTTTTATTGATTTTTTTCTCAAGCTACTATGTTTTTTTTCAAGATAAGAAAAAATACTTTTTTATTTTTTACTTGAACAATTTTATATGCATTTCTCAGTGGAAAAAGGATAGCCATTGATCACAACGAATGGTACGCTAGAATACTGACCTCTTTCTGTTTCCTACTGAGGTCCTTAACTACTAATTGGGCTTTGCATTGAAAAAATATAGATTAAATTTGACAGAATAAGAATAATAAGGAAATAAGTAACAAATAGAGAAACGTTTATAAATTTGACATGTTTCCTTGGTTTTATTGCGGACACATCACAAATTTAATTAATTAATTAATTTATTTATTAAACGAGAAGATGCGTATATGTTTCTGCATTTCGAATTCTATGCTATTTGTTTTCATTGGTCGGATAGATATCACGTGTTCATTTTTAATGGCGTTAGTGTATGTCAGCGTGTCTGCGTTCCTGTGAGCGTTTTTTGTAACTTCTGTTTCTCTAAAAAAATTGTAGTCTTCTCCAAAATGTCTTGATTTTTTAGAATCTGGTTTACAATTTGGAGACAAGTTACCGAAAAGGGTATTATAAATGGAAACTGTCAAGTGAGCGTATAAAAGTCTTCCTGTCTGCTATATGACAACTTCAGGTTTAGATCTTTCATATTTTATTTGAAGAGATTGGGTTGTCTTTGTAAATCTTGATCGAGTATAATTTCACTTCATAAATTCCTCAATACTGTCAAGGTGACTTGCTTGACATTTGAGTCAAAATCCACAACACAAAAGCCACAGGTCTGAGTATTCGAAGCGGTTGAAGTCGTTGAAACTTCATTATTTAACGGTTTTACACTTAAGCTAAGTCTGGGGATAGCATTCTCATTGATGCAACTTTCATAGCTGCTTGAATTCAGGAGTGCATCTAAAACTAATTCATCAAGAGTCAGCTGCAGTTAGTAGCTGCAGGTGGTAAACTTTCAGGAAGATCTGCTATAATTGTACATAACGTCACCCTGTGCATGGTTTCGGATAAACTCCCGCCTAGTTTACACATTAGAATAACGCTCTGTTTTCCGGCAATTGGACACACTTTCCTATTACGTGTATTGCCAGGCGGTACATAATCGCAAACAAAGAACTATAGCAAATAATAGAAGGCACAGTACTTGAGGACTTTCAACAACAGCAACAGCAAAAAGGGATAACAAATGTGAAAAAATAAAAAAAAGAAAATAATGACATAATCCAGATATTGAAATTCCACACGACTTCAAACAAAAGGTTAGAAAGGAAACCCCCATTAGTACTGGAAAGAGCAATAACAGAAGGCTAGATTAGAATAAAAGGGTGGGTTGGAAAATTCGTTCAAAATGAATTTGTTTTCGGAACAAAAGCGGAGGGAGAGGGGTTGAAATAAACGGGGAGATTGGAATAAACAGAGTGGTCGAAAAAAAGTGGAAAATAAAATAAACGGGATTTGAAATAGCCAGGCAGTTTGGAAGAAAAAAATATCTAAATGTAAATAGCTATTCCGGACACGAGAGTACTTACATTCGTGATTCCTCTCGCTTGTTTTGTATTAATTTCTCCCAACAGCACGATTACTGTTGATGAATCGTAGAATTCTTTTGGAGCAGATTAAGAATCTATCTCACAAATCATTGGTGGGTGAATGGTGTCGCTAAACTGTTTTGTTATAAACGAGTCTCCACCGATCTCTTTGCTATATTGGTCGGCAGATGAAATCCTTAAAGGCACAATCTTTGCACACTTAGCGTAGTTCCTGAAGATATTTTTTCCAGAAATTCTTCAGGTTGGTTTTG